ATAACCAAACAAAGGTGAATCAACATCACTTTTTCAGGATTTAAAAAAATCATGGAACTTATCCTGCTTTGCCAGATAAGATAATTTATAGCAGATAAAATATAGAAGTTAGGCTGAGTGTGGTGATTTACTTTTATAATCCCAGTACTTTGGGAGACCAAGGTGGGAGGATTGCTTGAGGACGGAATTTCAAGATCAAGACCAGTCTGAGTAACATAGTGAGACTCTTTCTCTCTCTCTAAAAAAAAAAAAAAAAATTAGCCAAGTATGGTGGATGTGCCCTGTAATCCCAGATATTTCAGAGGCTGGGTGGGAGGATCTCTTTGATCCAGGAATTTGAAACTGCAGTTAGCTATGATCCCACCACTGCACTCCAGCCTGGCTACAGAGCAAGACCTTGTCAATAAAAAATATATATATATAGAATTTAGTGAAAGCCAGAGTCCTCTGGAAAGCCAACAGTTCCTGAATGCAACTGAGAATGTGGACTATTCAGAAGTCACCAAGGATGTACGAAACCCCTGGGAGATCAGATCTGAGTTGAACTGCCCCAGAATTTCAGACTCACATAGGTTTATAGAGTTCTCTGAAACCAAGATCAAAATATGCTTTTATGTCCAAAGATACTTCAAATTTAGGATGATTTCTTTGACAATCTTGGAATCACTTTGAACGAGATTAGAACTTCCAACCCAGATATGATTGGTCAAGACCTACAATGACTTGCTTCATTTTCCAATCCGAAAGTCCCTCAGAAAGGGTCACTTGAACAGCTTTGTAGACACGAGCTGGTTCCAGACTTTAGAACTTGTCTTGTCTTTGGGCAGGTTAAGAGATTGATAAAAAAAAAATGCTCCAAAGTCCACTAGCTACTGCTGTTGGATGGCTTGTAACCAGTCTCTCTGTCTTGGACTCTGGTTCTACAAAGCTAGGCTGTTTGCCTTGTCTCCTATTTCCCCCAAAACCAAGCCTCTGCCTTGTACATCAACTCCCTCTTAGCCTGCTTACTTTTCTCCGGAACTCAACCATTGTCCTCACAAAGTGTCCCACCCTTCCTTTATTGTCAGTCTCCTTGGGCCTGAACCCTAAGTGGAACCCTGAGTGGAATTTCACACTTTACCTTCCTGGCTACTTGGTCTTACGATCTGCATCTGCACACAAATGTATTCAAGCCTTAGTGTGACTCTGATCCCAGCGCCTGCTGCTGGAGGATACTGCCTGCCTTCCTTGCCTCATCCCAATCAAGTTTGTTGAATTCCTTTCATTTTTTAAATATAGGAACTCAGTATTCTTAGAGATTGACCATTTAGATCACCTAGTACTTCCTGCCTCTCATGATCTGTGACTTGTCTTTCTCTAACATATCACAGGGAAGAAAACCGTAACAGAAAAGCCAATGCCTTTCCAGCAATCATATTTTCCATGACTGTAGATATCAGTAGCTGGCTGGATAATGGCTTGTAAGCATCTTTTACCTTTCAAGCAATTTAATTCTATTGAGTTTTGAAATCATACTTTTATAGACTGTCATGTACTTAAGAGTAAGTCTAACGAATGACTTAGGTTAAATGTCAGTTAGAAGAGACTATAAGTCACAAAAAAACCCTCTAATAATATATTGCATTATTACATATGATAATCCAATACAATGCACTTTAAATTGCTTATAAAATGTAATGTCAAAGAATATAGAATTACAGAGTTTCAAAATTGGATGGGATCCTTGTTATTAGGATAATTATTTTCACAAAGACAAAAAGTTATTCTCAGTAACATTCATTTTCTCCTGCAACAAGTTTGTTGACCTACCCTTTATTACCTGTGCTGCCCAGAGGGCCTGGAGGTCAGCAGTGGGAATGGTAGCCCCAAGGGACTGAATAAGGTCAATCACTGCCAAGGTTGACTTCTCCAGGAGAGGAGGAAAGGTGCCTTTAAACAAGGTGACCTCATTGTCTCTGCTTTTGATGATGGAGTCATCAAGGAAGGGGTAGGCATAATCATAGCCTGTTGCAAAAATGACACAGTCAGTGGCCTCAAGCACGGTTCCGTCCTCAAAAATGGCTGAGGTCTCTGAACTCCTTCACATTAGGCTTAATGGATACGGGGCCACACAGAATACAAGCTGGGAGCTGGTCATTGAACACAGTCTCCTTCTTCAGGATTCTGTATGAAAAACAGAGACAATTATTAGGACTGTGATACTTTCCTTTTGTTTTATTGAACCATATACAAATTGATAAGGAAGGAGAACACTACCCAAGATTTTTTTCTGAGCCATGGAGCATAGTATGGCTGAAGAACAATATTGATGCTAGACAGTATTGTGAAGTAGAAGTTGCCATTGGCTGGCCCCATCTCTATTTTCTGTGATCTTTCTCTTCTATTCCATGGATCTCTTTCTAAATCCCAGAATAAACACAGTCCCCTCTTAAAGCCTATTTCAGAAAAAAATCCTAGAGTAACAGTACCTGAGTATCTGAATATTTTTTAACTTATTAACTATGAGCCTTGAGAAGATTAAGGTTTCTTAAATTCTTGATGCCTCATCAGGAATGGCAATAACATTTGTACCTATCTCATAAGGTCACAGGGAGATGTAAATGGTATAAACAATTTTTGCACAATCTCTATCAAATGCAGAGTGCTCAAAAATGTTAGCTGCTGTTCTCAATATAGTATAATGTAAGCTGGTCATCATAATGTAGAAAAGAGCGAATAGGAGGAGGAAGATTAAGGGTGGGAAAGCTGCCACCAAGCTCTCCAGAGACAAAGGATAAACCCTGTGTAGACAAAGGCACAAGTCAGGAGAGGGAATGTAAATAAGACCAGAAGAAGAGGGTAGCCAGCTTGAGGCTCTGGCCACTGCAAGTCTGGGCAGAGAGAGCTTTTGACTATTTTCTATATAGTAATATCTCCAGTGGAAGCAGCTAAATCTGAACTTAGAGATGAACGTGGACGAAGTTGAAGGAAAGGATGTTGTTCTTTATGGCTGTGGGAACTGGAGAGACAGCTACAGGCAGATTCTACTGGCAAAGAAACTGAATCAGATGATGAGATGATTAGAATCCTGGCTGGAAAAATGCTGAACTCCACTGTGCTTATTACCTGCCATTTATTTTAACTCACTGCCATCAGGTTTTCACCCCCACTACACATTGAAACTGCTCTTATCAATGCCATCAGAATCAAGCTGCCAGATCCAGTGGTACATGCTTATTTCTCATTTTACTCAAGTTAGTAGCATTTAACATAGTTGATGGCTTCCTCCTTCTTGAAACCCTGTTTTCATTTTGCTTCTAGGTCATCACTCTCTCTTGCTTCCTTTGCTACCTACCTGGTCATTCTTTCTGCTTCCTGCTGGTTTCTTCTCTTCCAAACCTCCAAACAATGGCATACTCCAGGACTCGGCCCTTTAGAACTCTTGTTTCCTCCACATACATTCATTCTTCAAGAGATGTCGTCAGTTTCATTTTTTTAAGTACTATCTTCTAATGACTCCAACATTTTAATTTATGGTTTGAACCTCACTCCTGTCTTGTGTTTCCAATTGTTGCTCAACATTCTTCTAACTGAATGTCTAAAAGTAAACTTCTCCTTTGGCAGTCTTCCACATCTCAGTCAATGTCAATCAAAAGTCTTGCTCAGATCAAAAGTCTGGAGACATATTTGATGCCTCTTCTTGATGTTGCATCATTTATCTAGTCTAGTAGAAAATTCTGGTTGGGTTCACCTTCAAGCTATATGCAGAATCTGCTCACTTCTTTATTTGTTGATTTTTTAAAAAACTTTTATTTTTTTTGTAGAGATGGAGTCTTGCTATATTTGCCCTGGCTGTTTTTGAATTCCTGGCCTCAACTGATCCTCTTGCCCTGGTCTCCCAAAATGCTAGGATTATAGGTGTGAGCCACTGTGCCCAGCATCTGACCACTCACTGCTAACAATCTTAGTCCAGGCCACCACCCCTCTCACCTGGCCTTTTTACAATAGCTTCTTAATTTCCTTTTCCTTTCTTTCTTTCCCTGCCTCCCAATGCTGAATGATCACCACAGCAGCCAGGGTAATCTCATTCATGCCAACCTAGGTCTTACCATTAATTTGTTCAGAAACCTGCTATGGTTTCCTGTTGCTTTCTGAGTGAAAGTCAGAATCCTCACAATCGTCTCTAAGACCCAACGCTGTTGGGCTGTTTGTATGTCTGTGATTCCATCTCCTGGTGCTCTCCTTTCAACCTCTTTTTTCCAGGAAAAGAAGCCCATTGCTGTTTGTGATCATACCAACCATGCCTGTGAGGAGGTGCTGCCTCCATTGTATTCTCTGTTTGGGACACCTTTCCTGAAAGATCCTTGTGGCTCTTTTGCGCATCTCCTTTGGACTTTGCTTAAAAGTCTCCTCCTTGTGACCTATTTTGTTTTCTTCTTCAGGGCACACATCATCACATGATCTTCTATTTTTTATTGTTGGTTTCAAACTACTTAGAATGTAGGCTCCATGAGAACAGGAATTTTTGTCTGTTTTGTTCACTACTATACCCATAGGGCTTAACACTGGCATATAATAAATGCTTCATAAATACTTGTCAAATTAATGAATTCACTTTGATGTAAACAATTCATAATTGGGGTTTTTCACCCCATGTCGAAGTCATTTCTTGTGATGCTACTGTCTTAGGGGATGTGGTAGGAAAAAGTGAGGAAGAGACCAAAGACAAAGACACGCATGTGGCATGCGTGTGTTCAGTAGGAGGGCTCCATCCTTGGCTGAGGATGAGTGTTTGGGACAGGGAGCATTCTTCCGCCTTGCTTTACTTAACATTGCTACTATGTGAGAGGCAGTAGAGCAGTGGCTCAAGTGAGGGGCTCTGGAATCAGCAGGTCTGGGTTTGTTTGAAATGCTGCTTCTGATACCTGGCTGTGGGACTGTGGTGATGTTATTAACCACATTGGATCTCATTCCATTTCTAAAATGGGTACTAACAGAACTCTCCTCATAGTTGATGTGAGGATAAAATAATTCATGTCAGAGCCTTAGCAGACTTGCTCTGACATGTATTAAGTGCTTAATTTTGATTATCATTACTCTAGGGACTAATTCCTGAGATGTCACATAACTTTCCAGCTGTGTACACCCAGTAAGGAGTATTGCAAAATAGGAAATCACTCCTGATTTTCGCCATTCTTTGTCTTCTGACATATGGGATGTGATTACTTTACCAATACTTTGATTTGTTTTGGAGTTACAGCACACATTAAGGGTTGCTGACACTGAGATAAAAGTCAGTAGGCATATTATGTTTAACTCCACATTACCCATTTAAAGGCATTAAGCCATAGTTTTCATGCTTGAATTTGGCATTCATCTACTTCATGTACCACCAGTCAGAGATGGCTGTTGGTAACTTGTTCTTGAGGAAAGTTTCAAATCAAGTGATAAACACTATGTCCCAAGGATAGCCATCATCCCAGACCCAGCTCATCACCCAAGAACCACCTTGGTGACCTTAAAGAACACCAATTCAAACATGAACGTAGTGACCATTGGTAAGCAGATATTCTGATATGTTCCTCAGGTGTCCCTTTAGGAATGGATTTATCACCCTAGCTGCTGGGAGTGGGGCCACATGGCACCCTCCAGCTGTCAGCCCTCTTTGGGAGTTGCTTTGGCAGAAGAGAGGGTCTCCCCCAAGGTCTTATACGCTTCATGAGTTTCCTGCTTTTGGTGACTGGTCGACTATAGCTGTATAAAAGCCTAACCCCTCATTTCAACTTAGGGAGATGCCAATGGATCATCTCAGCTACAGAGTCAGGTAAAAGGAAGCTTCCTTTCCTTCCTGCAGAGGAGATGATCCTGAGAGCACTCTCAACTAAATTTCCCAAACTCTAATCTGCATCTCAGGATCAGCCACCTGTTCACACTGTTGCAGGAAAACTTTTATATTTCAATAAAATCTTCTCTGGTATCAGTGACTAATATCTGAATTATAGTCACATTTCCCCTAGTGCTTACTTGACTATTGCTTTCTACAAGCAACTATGATCTCAAATAGGCATTTTGAACTAAATTGCCTGCCACCATCCAGAAAGAACACAAGAAGTTTGGAATCAGAAAACTTTAGGCTCAGGCAACCCCTTCAGGTCCCCTTCCACTGTGGGACCTTTTCTGTCCTCTCAATAAATCCTGCTTGAAAAAAGAATACCTTAGGCTCAAATCCTGGCTCTCCTACTTACTAACAATGTGACTTGGGAAAAAATTTCTTCAACTTCTTTAATCTTGTTTTCTCATTCCTAAAATGGAGAGAATAAGAACCCACCTCATCAAATTGGAGTGAGAATTAATTCAATGTGATAATCTGTGCAACATGGCTAACATTATCTGGCATATAGTATGTGCTCAGTAAATATCAGTTTCCTTTTGCTCTCCTTCTGTTATGTTAATCTTTAGCTGTGTAGTTTTTAGGCTTGCTCTCTCTCTTTCTTTTTCAATAATTTGTATATACAATGCCACTTCAAGACATCTCTTATAAGAGAAGTAAGATGAATAAGAAGAGACTAACGGATCTCTTAAGTTTAGAGTTTCTGAAACTGGTCTTTCGCTTAATCTATTGCATATGCAAATAATCACATATGCAAATACAAATCTCTTAAAGCTATGATTTTGTCATAGGTTTCCTTAGCTCAAGAAACTGAAATGTTTTACCTTTGTTCATGGAAAAATCAAATTTTTTAATCTTGTTATTCAAGTTCTTAAAATATTTGATATAACTTGACTCCAATCTTTCTTTCCTATCTCAATTCATGCAGCTCTTCTGGTCCCTGGAATCAGAAGACTTGGCTTTCAGTGACTTGATCATTAATTTTCTTGATGACTTTCAAGAAAACAATTAACATTCCTGGTCCTCAGTTATCTTTTCTATAAAATGACTTTATAAAAAATCTCAACTACTTTCTTCCCATAAGTAAAATTGCTTATTTGTCTGAAGGTATTTGAGTACCAAAGACAAGGTACAAATTGTTAGTATCAATAACATCCATTCCAAAATCTACAATCTACAATAGTCACATCTGCAGTGCCTATTCCTGTCTTCATGCCTTTCTTTGCTCATGCCATCTTCCCTGCCAAGAACAACCTTTGTCACCTCTTCAATTACATGACTTATATTAATCCTTCCAAGATTTGTTCCTCCTTCATGAGGCCTTCAGCTCTGGAATCACAGAGTTGAATGCCTGGATCGCTCATCTATCCCTTATTCCAGTGACAGTTCTTGTTTCAGAGCAGGAATCATGTCTGTTTTGCTTACTACTTTCTCTCTAGCACCCAAGCCCATGTCTGGCACATAGTCGTATCTCAATAAATAGCTATGGAATAAATGTATGCATGCTTGAATGGGTAAGCTCTGTTTGCTTAAATCTTATTCAGATACTTTAACTTTCTAACAAGCCCAAAAGTAGGGTCTATTTTTGTCTGGTTTACCATTGAGAAACCTGAGACTTGGTGGGATCGAAGGACCTGAACTAGTCTCAGAGTCATAACCTTAACCCTAATCTGCACTAGTTTTAGAGGAATTTATCAGACACGGGAGGCACCAAATATCTTGAAGAAAGAAGGTGGTTGTTGAAACGCTCCTTGCTGAAGTTCTGCCTTTGTGTATCGAGGGATTTAAAACCATGCTTGTTACCTGGGGAGGTTTAGCTATACAAAATGCCACTTAGTTTCACATCAGAGATTCCCCTCTTTCATATTCCACCTTTTGAATAGCAAAAGCTCTTTCTGTCTCTTTAAAGACAGTCTCCTGAGTGCCTAGGGCGTGGTGCCTGCTTGGCTATGTGACTGAGTTCCGTGGCAATGTCACAGCCCGAATTCCCCAGGCCGATCACCAGGACCCGCTTTCCCTGGAATATGCCAGGTTCCTTATAGTCCCTGCTGTGGAAGCATTTGCCTTTAAAATGTTTTAATCCTGAGTAAAAAGTGGGAAACGTGAATTTTAAAGATGTAGGGTACTATTCAGGGTTAAGTATGTAAATATTCATTACACAGGTACCCTTGTTGATGAGGCGTGCCTCCCCCCCGGCAGAATCCCATTACCGCCAGTTCTGTCCCCCTACACCCCTGGCAGTTTCCCACTACTGACAATCCTTTTCTTATAGTATTACGATAATTGATCAAGGTCCACTTATGAGCGAGGACAAATGATACTCAGTTCTTTGTTTCTGTGATAGATCACTCAGTATTATAAACGCTAAGTTCATTCAAGTTGCTGTGAAGTTCATAATTTTGTCCTCCTTTATGGCTGTGTAATATTTCTTCAGGTATATGTACCATATTTTTTAAAAATTTCATTAAAAAAACAGAAATGACCTTATGAGTGGATACAGTCACAACAATATGGAATTTTAGCTCTCCAAGTGTATTGATATAACAGAAGTATATTTTAATTTAACCCGTTTGTACTTGAAACACACACACACACACTATTAAGACATTCTTCATGTCAGATGTGTAGATAGCAGCTCAAATTTTGGCCTTACCTGGAAATTTTGGTAATTTGGGGTACACATGATGTCCTGAATAAATCATCACAGCATTAAAGACAGCTGTTTCTCTCCTGCTATCCTTTTCAGTGGTAACTTCCCACTGACCAGTGATTGAGAAATCAGGACATTTATTTATACTGGATACAAATGTCTAAGATAAATATAAAAATAAAATCTTATTTTCTATCTAACAAATAAATTTGGCATAAACAGTAAAATAAACAGTGGTTTAGAAAAAAATAATTCATTATTAAGGTACATATTACAAATTTAAGATTTCCTTGGAATAAATCAAAACACCAAATGGTGTGTGTCTGTATGCAGGAATATATGTGTGTATGTGTATATATTATATATATGTGTGTGTATATATTATATATATGTGTGTGTGTGTGTGTGTGTGTGTGTGTGTGTGTGTGTGAATAAATCTTAACAGAAATGACCTTATGAGTGGAAGCTCATATGTGTGTGTGTGTGTGTGTGTGTGTGTGTGTGTGTGTGTGTGTGTGTATATAAATCTTAACAGAAATGACCTTATGAGTGGATGCTCATATGTGTATGTGTGTTTGTGTGTGTGTGTGGTGAATGGTGCCAAAAAAGTATACACATTTTAAGAAAGGAAAAAAATTGCATTAAAATTATAATAATATATACCGATAACAAAAGATGAATACAAGCCATGTTAGACTTCTGCAATTGCAAGAGGTGCTCAGAGTTCCCATCAGTGGCCAGGCACTTCTAATTTCAGCAAACTACTGTAGGACTTGTTGCTGTGTGAGTCTTCCCAGATCTTCTGTTGTGCACATCACACACAGTACCATGTGTCTCAAACTTATCACGAATGCATGCAATTATTAGGTATGTTGGAGGTTACATACTCACACCTCCGCTGTCATTGTACTTCCACAACGTTCTCGAATTTCAAATGCCACTTCACAATGGTCTTGTGCTCCTCAAACGACAAACATGTTTTCGCTATTTTTCTGACTGTCCTGCTTGTCTCATGGCGGTGCTAGCATTCATTTGATTAACACCCTTTTTGAGCAAACATCATACTGCACATAGCCACTGTAACTCAATTCAACTTCAAATAGTTATACATAGATAACATCTTTTAAAATATGTATACTTTTTCTGGCACCCTTGGGTATATATATATTCCTGCATGGTTTATTGGGCATGACCAGTATTTTCTGCAGTACAAGAGTGACATCCCTTGGAGATATGACAGTATATTCAATCACAGTTTACAAGAGGATAGCACCACATACAGTAAGGAATTTGGTGGCCAAAAACTTTTGTAATGATAACCACATTCTAACAACCACCTTCTGACTTATCTTTACAACAATAACAATAGTAATAATAACAATAGTATTATTGTCGTCTTAAAATGAAAGAAATCCTCTATATTCAGGAAACACGTTCTCAAACTTCAGTGAGTATAAGAATCACCTGGAATGCTGTTAAAGTACAGATACCTGGACCACATTCCCAAATGTTCTAATTCAGTAGGTCAGAGGAAGAGCATAAACACGTATTTCTAACAAACTTCCAGGTGATGTTGAGGCTCCTTGACTCCTTGAACTGTAACTAAGTAGCTCTTGACAAGATTACCAGTAAATGTTTATTCACAGCTAAATGGCTGCATGTTTATGATTGATTTTTTTTTTTTGAAAGCAAGATTTATTGAGAGGTCAGAAAATCTCCCACAGAAGGAGGGGACCTGAGGGAGTTGCCCAAATGTTCTGTTTTTGTTTTTGTTTTTGAGTTGGAGTCTCACTCCATCACCCAGGCTAGAGTGTAGTGTCACTCTCACAGCCACTCCAGCGTTGACCTGCTGGGCTCTGACGATCCTTCTGCCTCAGCCTTCCAGGTAGCCGTAATTACAGGTGTGTGCTACCATGCCTGTCTAATTTTTGATTTATTGTAGAGATGAGGCCTCACCAGTTTACTGGGGCTGGTCTCGAATCTGCAGGCTCAGGCCATCCACTGACCTCAGCCTCCCAAAGTGCTGGGATTTACAGGTTGAGCTACTGAGCCCGGCCTAGTGTTCTGTTTTAAAAAGTCCTTTCAAGACTAGCCTGGGCAACTTGGCAAGACCTCGTCTCTACAATAAATCAAAAATTAGCTAGGCATGGTAGTGTGCACCTGCAGTTCCATCTACTTGGAAGACTGAGGTGGAAGGATTACCAGAGCCCAGCAGGTCAATGCTGGGGTGGCTGTGAGAGTGACACTGCACTCAAGCCTAGGTGATGGAGTGAGACTCCAACTCAAAATAAACAAACAAAAAACTCTGATTCAGTTACTCTGATTATATTAGAACAAGAATCCTTATTTGGTATTAATTGTTCTTAAACACTTTATTATGTAGTATGTCATATATTGAGAATATACACACATTTGTGTAGCATTTTGCTACTTATAAAATATAATAATAAAATAATGAGCATTTATGAACCCATGAGATCCTATACGTTATTTGTTTAGAAGAATTTCGAGATCTTTAGTTAGTTATTCTATTGTGAATGACACATTTTTTTGGATTATAGTTTCTGTTTGCTGCTGGTTTACAGTAATACAATTGATTTGATATATTAATCCTCTATGCCATCAGCTTGCCTAACTTTTGTATCTTTATTAATTATAGTAGTTTGTAGATTCTTTTGGGTTTACTATCCAGACAATAATATCATTTGTAACTTCAAATAGTAAAACATAGATAACATCTTTTAAAATGTTTTTCTTTATTTGTCTTACTGTCTCTCAAAAAAAATATCTTAACTATTGAAAAAAAAAAGTAATAATTAGGAATCCTTATCTTGGTCTGGACTCTAAGGGAATGATTCTAACTTTTCAGTGTTTAGCACAGCACAGACAGTAGGCTGTATCAGCAACACATGTAATTTAAAAATTTCTAGTAGTCACATTAAAACGTGAAAAAATGTATACTTTAAACGGATCTATCTGATGTATCAGTGTTTCACTAAGTAATTAAAATAAAAATTATTAATCAGGTATTTTATATTTTTTCATAGTAAAATCCAGTGTGTACTTTAAATTTATAGTGCATCTCAGTTTAGGGGCTAGCATTTACCATATTGAATAGTGGAAATTTAAGATGTTTGCGTATGTTTTGTTGGTAAACCAGTGCATAAAGTTGGGAAAGTCATCAGGATATGAGAAGTCTGAGAAACACATCATCTATTTGTTGGGTTAAGAAAATTCCCTTGGTAAGTTTTCCTAAAAAATTTTAATTTAAAACATTATTTGGCAAACACTTTTGTAGTATTCTTATTATATTTTTATTTCATTTGCATCTATTTTACTTACCTTTTCATTTCTTATGTTATTTATTTGTGCTTTTGCTCATTTTTTTTCTTAAACTGTCAGCTATTTACCTGTTGTTTAATAAGGCTTTTAAAAGAATAAACTTTCAATTTTGTTAATCTGCTTTATTTTTTATTTTATTAATTTCTTTTTATTATTCACTTCATCTATGTCCTTTGGGTTTATTCTGTTTTTACTAATTTTTTAAACTTCCTTTCCTTATTAGTTTTCACATCGTTTTCATTTTCTAGTGTAAACATTTATGTTTATAATTTTTATGAAAATATAGCTCATTTTGCTTCCCACAAATATTGATATAAATAATCTAAATTATTATTCAGTTATACATTTTAAAAAATTCTCATTGAAATTTTTTTCTTTGACCCACACATTATTTAGGAAAAAAGAGGGTTTTTTTTTTGTTTTGTTTTTGTTTTTGTTTGTTTTTTGAGTCAGAGTCTCACTTTGTCATCAAGGCTAGAGTGCAATGGCATGTTCACGGCCACTGCAGCCTCTACCTGCTGGGCTCAGGCTATCCTTCTGCCTGTAGCTGGGGTTACAAATGCATGCCATAATGCCTGGATAATTTTTTAATTTATTGTAAAAATGAGGTCTTGTCAAGTTACTCAGGCTGGTCTCGAACCCCTGGGCTCAGGGAATTCTCTTGCCTCAACCTCCCAAAGTGCTGGGATTACAGGTGTGAGTGCCTGGCAGAAAAAAACAGTTTTTAACTTCCAAATTCATAGATATTTTACATTTATTTCTTTGTTACTGATTTCTAAGCTGTGGCATTTTGGTGTAAAAACTGTATATGGTCAAATGTTGTGAATTTTTTATGTATTTTTTAGAAGAAGGTATAGTTTCTAAATCTAGGGTTGGAGAAACCGTTGACAAACAAGAAAGGGATAATGAAATGCACAAATGAGAATTCAATAACAGACATGAATTTTTCCTCATCTTTATGCCCAAATCTAATTTGTTGATAGCATCTTACCTTAAATTGTATGTATTTCAGGAGGTTCTTTTCTTTGGCAAATGCAATGATATATTCCTGGAGCTTGCCGTTGTGCATAAAGTTGGGAAAGTCATCGGGGTACAGGAAATCTAGGAAACACATCATCTCTTTGGAAGAGTTGGTAAACACAGATTGGTAAATGCTAGCTCTGCCCTCCTCTGCATGGTCCTGAGAATGTATAGCTTCAAACAAAAGAGAATTGGTAAATGAGTATACTGATCATGTTCAGGTCCAGTTCCAAGTAATTACAGTTGTCCCTCGATATCCCTGTGGGATTGATTCCAGGATTCCTGTGTGTACCAAGATCCATGGATGCTCAAATACCTTATACAAAATGATATAATATTTGCATGTAACCCATGCACCTCCTTCTGTATACTTTAAGTCATCTCTAGGTTACTTATAATACCTAATACAATGTAAATACTAAGTAGTTATTATACTGTATTGTTTTTTATTTTATTTTATTTTATTTTGAGTAAGCCCTCACTATCATAGCTTATTGCAGTGGCACGATCATAGCTCATACTCCTGGGTTTAAGTGATCCTTCCATCTCAGCCCTGTATTGTTTTTACATTTGTATTATATTTTATTATTGTGGGTTTTTTTTTTTTTTTCCTTGAATATTTTTGATCCATGGTTGGTTGGTTGAATCTCTGGATACAGAACTCACAAATGCAAAGGGCTGAATACATTCATGTGTGTCAGTCTTTACTCATAAGTAAATTCAGTAAGATGACAACTAAATTAACCTCACTTAAGCAATTAATGCTAACCATGAAAGCTTATTAAGGAAACTTAGAGTAAAGAAGAACATAGCTTTCTTAATGTCTCTTCTAAGGGAAACCATTTCAAATTCCATTATGTCCTTTTAGGAATATGCAACTAGAATCTTTTAATCCCCCAGGACCATTAAATACAGTGACAGTTATTTTCCAAAATTCAGCCTTGCATGATTTCAACGTGTCAGCTCATGAGGATGAGCATCTAATGGTGAATTCATAAAAGCAAACAATGGCAGGTGACTGTAACTGTTTATAAGACTTGTAAATGTGAGCACTTTCAAACATAATCTTTTAAAAATAAAGCACAGAATGTCTGCAATGTGTTAAATAATATGTCAAATAATTTGAACCAACATACAGAATACAAAGGCATTGCAAGTCATTTTTTTTTTTTTTTTTTGAGTTGAAGTCTCACTCTGTCGCCCAGACTGGAGTGCAGTGGCCGCTGCCGGCCACCGCAGCCTCAACCTGCTGGGCTCCGGCAATCCTTCTGCCTCAGTCTTCCAAGTAGCTGGAATTACAGGCATGCACTACCACGCCCGGCTGATATTTTGATTTATTGTAGAGATGAGGTCTTGCTGCCCAGGCAGGTCTCGAACCCGCGGGCTCAGGCAATCCACTCACCTCAGCCTCCCAAAGGCGCGGGATTACAGGCTGAGCCACTGAGCCCAGCTCATCGCAAGTCTTTTGATTATTTTTGTAGGTAAAAAATTTCTAATCTTCAGAGATATAGAACCATCTGAATTGGCTATATTAACTCTGAGAAACCATGGAACTATGCAAATAAAACCTTAGAGAAGATATTAAATGATGATGAAGAAAAAAAATGGAAAAAGAATGATCAATGATGAGATGAATGGGATGTTGTGTCGTAACTCTCAGCCTTAACCACATGCTGGAATAAACTGGAGAGCATTAAAAAAAATAGAGGTAGATCACACTCTCAGAGAATTTGACTTAACTAGCCAGGAGTTTTAAAAGCTCTTCAGATAATTCTAGAGTGCAGACAAGGTTGACAGTCACAGTGTAGACTTCAACAGATAGAAGGAAGTTAATGACCAACACACTACAGTTAGTGTGGAAGAGCATGCCATAAGGCACATTGATCACAGCTGTGAACCCTGCAAAGCAAGATGTGGGGGCAAATGAGAGCCATTAAATTAAAAAAAAAATACTGTTGAAACATGATTAGGAAGAAGTGGAACCTTAGTTTAGCTCTCTTGAACCACGAAGGTACTTCACGACTAGGCCATAGGTCTAGATGAACTGTCTTTCTTTCTCAGGAGCTCCCCCAACAAGAAATCAGTAAGTTGTCTGAATTTTGTTTTGAGGTTTCACAGTGAAAGAACAAATTGCAGATATCTGTGTATAGTTGCTAGTTCTGGATGGAAAGCACTTTGTGCTAGAAATTTCTAATTAGAGCTCATGTAACTCGAAATTGTCAGGGCCCCCAGATATGAATTTTAAGTATAATATTAGACTAGTACAGTCTTGTCAAAAGCCAGTGTGGCTGTGGTCTGATTGTTGGCAAGTATTTAAGTGTCAGATTTGTTGCTGTATTTGTTTCAGCAAGCAATGTGATCTTGAAATAGGGCATGAGGTTCCAGTTGCCCAAGTAGCTTGTTGACCTTGCTCTTATGCATGTGGGATGGGGAAGTGAAGGAATTGGTAGCTTTTGGGGAGTTGAGTATATTTGCATCAGAGAGAGCAAACATTAAAGAACAAGTTGATATGTAGTCTAGTGAAAAATTAGAGGAGGTTAAAAAAGGGTTCTATGTCCAGAAAACAAAGCCTCTATTCATGAAACTTCATGCCAAAACCCATACAAAATCGTTCTTCAGAAAGAAGAACATTTCACATTTCTTAGCTCTGTGGCCTAGTCATAAGGTATTTTCTCTGAGATCAAAGGGAGGAAAATATGCAGTTCTGGGTCTGAATCAGGGTTAGAAATCAGAACTAGAAGGGCAGAGGAAAGTGCTCTAGCAAAGAGCTCCAAACGTTTCAACTATATGTGCTTTCAGTGTTTTTTACACCTAAATAATGTTTGGATCCTTCTGGGGGAAAAAATAGCTAAGAGAATGTAAAATACTGATGCTAGAAGCTGAAAGTAATGAAAATACAAAATTAACACAATTTTGTAATATCTCATCATGTGAATACTAGTCATATCGCTTCAGACTCCTAATGGTTTGAGAAACACTGCTGGTCATGGCATCCTTTGCATTCTATAGGTCCTCTCACTGTGGTAAAATAATTAGGAAATTCTGAATAACCAATGATATTAGTTTCTTCTGGTTACTGTAATAAATACCCCAAACTTGATGGCTTAAAAGAAGAGGAATTTATTCTCTCCCGGTTCTGGAGTCCAGCAGTCAGAGATCACTATCATTGGACTGAAAACAAGGTGTTGGTGGGGCCGTGTTCATTTCCAGAAGCTCTAGGAGAGAATTTGTTCTTTCCTCTCTTAACTTCTGAAGGATGCTGTCATTCCTTGGCTTTTTCAGTGTGGAGACGCCACTTGCATTCCTTAGCTTGTGGCTCCCTTGTCCATCTTCAAGGTCAGAGCATAACATCTTCGGATTTCTGTTTTTGCTGAGGTCATCACATCACCTTCTCCCTTCTGTCTTTCTCTGTGAAGTCTCCTTCTTCCCTCTTTTAAGGACACATGTTATAGTATTTAGGGCTCACCAAGATAATCTGGGAAAATCTCTCTATCTCAAGATGTTTAACTTAATTATATTGGCAAATATCCTTTTTCCTTATAAGGTAATATTTATGTACAGATTCCAGGAATTAGGATGTGATATATTCAAGGGGCCATTGTTGAATTGTTTAGCCATCCCCTGTCCCCTAAAGATTCAAATCCATTCCATATGCAAAATACATTCACCTGATCCCAACATCCCCAAAGTGTCAACCCATTGTAGCACAAAATTAAGTTCCAACTCTCATCTATGTATTTTCAGCTCAGAAGTCCCAGATACTGCCATCTAAATTATTTAAATCAGGTATGGGTGAGACTCTGGGTATGGACCATCATGGAGTGAAATTCTTCTCCATCTGTGGAACTGTGAAACTAGAAGACACGTTATCTTCTTCCAAAATACAATACTGGGTCAAGCATGGGTAACAGTTATAGACATTCCCATTCCAAAAGGGGGAAAAAAAGAAAGAAGAAAGAAATCACCAGTCTCAAGCAATTTTGAAATCCAACAGGGCAAATTACATTAGATTTCAAGACCTGGAAATAATCCTCCTTGGCTCAAGCCTCTGCCCTCTGGGCCTGAGGTTCTACCCTGTGGGCTAGCCTTTCTTTTTCTTGAAGGAGGGCACATGTTTGCACCTGAGTAGTTTTATCAACCTGTGATATCAGGTTGAAATTTTAAAGTCTTCCTTGAGCAGCAAGAAAGGAAACTCTGTCTTTGGAGTGTTCCTCTCAATAACCATGTTGAATAGTAGTGTGTTTTATCTTCAGTAAGATCTTGCAAGTCATTTAAATTTGAGACTTTAGTTAAGATCACCATGTAGAAGAAATGGCTAGCCCAATAAACTCCTAGGGGAAATGGAAGACAGCAATTTACTAAGGAGTTACGAATTTAGGCCCAAAAGAAAGGTAAGCTTGAATTAGGATCTTGTCTCTATCATTTACCAGCTGTGTAATTTTGTTCTTTCTTTTTAAGCTTCAGTTTTTTGTAAAAAGAAAAAACCATACCTTGTTTATAAGATTATGATAAAGACTGAATTACATGGAAAAAGTCATTTGTCATATAGAAGTGCTCAATAAAATAGCTCTAAGAGTTATCAGTGTACTAATGTCAGTACATTCCAGTAAGGCATATTAGCTAGGCTCCGCAATGTTGTACAAGATGTGAGGTGGTTTTAAGAGTTTTTTACAGTCTACAAAATATATTAATGAGAATAATGTCTCATGTCTTTATAATATTTAAAGAGTTGTCACAGACACAATTTCATTTAAAACTCACAACCTTTTTATTGAGGTATGTAAGGTAATACTAATTTTGCATTTAAAGAAGAAATAGTGGCTTAAAAGGGTTATTGATCTACCTAAATTTTCATATATATATTAAAGGACTTTTCAGGAAAAGAAAAATAAGACAGAGAGTCAGGCTTGACCAGACAGTGTTCTTAAGACTGGGGTCACTGATGGAGTGGAGGGCTCAGGGAAGCCCCACACTTGCTGTTGTCTGGCAACACAGGAAGTGATTTCATGAATGCGTACATGCATGTCTGCTGGTAGTCTTCATTATAAATGCGCAGAGACAAAAGGACATTAAAGAACTTCAAAGCTGTGTCCTATTCTTGGCTTCTTTTGTAGCTGCCTCGGTTATGTGGTTTTGCAAGAGCAAAGTCAACACCTGAAACTTTAAAATCTGTGGTCTGAATCACTAAGAGGACCTTCAGTAGCCTCAAAGAAAGAATGGAAAACACCCTTGTGTTTTAAGCTAGCAAATCATTTAATTATAATTACATAAACCTAATCAATGTTTACCATAAATTTCATGTCCAAGTGACTCTTATTAATGATTTATCAAGGATGAATTCTGTACAGAGAGACCTTCGAAGTCCATTGTTTAATTTAATTCTGACTGGCAAGGAGGTGACTTTCCAACCCACTCCTGATGTTGTATTTTGTGGATTCCAACTAACAGGATTACAGTGGCCATGGTAGAAGGTTTGAGAGTCTGTGCTCATTCAGCCTGTTCTTGTATACCTCCCAAAATGCTTCCCCATCTATTTCAGTGTCGCCTACTCACCGAGAATTTCCACAGGCCCCCGACGTAATTGCTCCTCTCAAAGCAGGTGGGCTCCAGCCCTTCTTCCAGACAGCTCCTGAGGGCAGCCAAACCACTGACACCAGCGCCGATGATGGCCACCTTCTTCCCCATGGTTGCCTGTGCAAAGGCCCAGAGAACACTTCCAGCAACAGTATTACTGAAAACTTTCTTATTTATCTATTTACTTATTTTGGATACTTTTTGGCTTAATTAGAATATTTACTTTTGCATTCAAGAGAACAGTAATTTTAAAAACAGTTTGGAATTCCTTTTAGTAATCTAATTATATTTTGCATTTCTCTCTAATTTCTAAAGATGATATTTTCTTTGGAAAAAAGAGGCTCTTGGTTTTCAATCAGTGCTCCAAATTTATGAGACTGATAGTACAGCAATATATTTATCTTTTTTGCCTTTGGCCTTTTGTAATTTACTCTCTACCAAAGAGAGTAAGCAGGAAAAAAGAAGTGGAGAGTCACACTAAAACACGTGTACACCTACCTGCCCACATTCATATGTATGTACATGCGAATGAATAAACAAATAAATATCTTTATATATGTACACACACACACACACACACACACACACACACACACACACATGCACACACATGTATCTATATTTTCTTTCTACTTTGACACCAGACTGGAGTAAAGTCTGGGGATATCTGTGTTTCAGTATGCCAGGTAATCACTCCCTTTCCTCACCTAATAATATCCTTCACCCTCTCAGTTAAAAAGAAAAGTCAAGTCTTTACCTAAAAGAACATCTCTCAATGGCTCCACCCCTAACCTCCATTCTCTTCCAGGAAAATTACATGTCCTAACCATTTCCTTTTCCTGACACTGTTGTGCTACAAATTCTCTCAGTATGTATGTATGTGTATGTATGTATATACATATATAGAGAGAGAGACAAAAATCACACAGCTCTAAAGGAAATAAACTTGGATGATAAAAATCATGATCCATGATTTCGTAGAAACAAACTATCTGAATTATATTTGTCATTCTCATTCCTGCCATATTTGGTATAAAATTACAACATGCTCCTTTTTCATTTATCAACCCCTCCCTCCTCCCTCTCAGCCCTTTACAGTGTCATTTTTTTCTTTTTCTACCTTTTCTTAGTCTTCTTTTCTTCTGTGTGTCTAAGTCCTGTCCAAGTTGTCTGGACAGTTAGAGAAAATGCTTTCCTGCACCCACACTTTAGGGGGAATATCGGGAAGTGGAGGAGCTGCTCTTAAAAGTGTCATCATTTTCTTGTTCCTCTAACAGGCAGTCACACACTGAGTTCCTGTAGGGGAGGACTCTGGCTCAGTCTCTGGGTGCATAGTTTCTGTTTTCCCTTTGGTTGTGACAAACACAAACTGCTGATTATGTTCCTGAACCCTTGGCCTGGGAAGAAGGCAGTTTCTTCCAAGTGACTTTGCAGTCCTCCGTTTCATTTTATTATGTGTTATTTCAAAGATTATCCTATTTTCCTCATTCTTAGTTATTTTGTAGGTACTCCATAACATCCTCTAAACACTGTACAAAATCAGCTACTTAACTGAGATAGCACAATAGGGAAGATGACTTTTCTCTGTTTTCTCTCTGTGTATCTTTTGACCTTTGTGATCAAAGGCCTGTATTTCTCAAACTTATTATTTCTTTGTTACTTTGACATTGTGTGATCATGGGAAAGATCAAATTCTATAAATTGATCCATTAGCATCAGGTACAAGGTAAAATTAGTACAAGGTAAAATTATGTTGGCAGTACAACTAAATAAACTACATCCAACTCCCTGACGTGAAATACAGTAAAATTTCTCTGTAATCCTGCGCCTTGGGAGGCTGAGGTGAGTGGATTGCCTGAGCCCGCGGGTTCGAGACCTGCCTGGGCAACTTGGCGAGACCTCATCTCTACAATAAATAAAAAAATTAGCCAGGTGTGGGCGCCTGTAGTTCCAGCTACTTGGAAGGTTGAGGCGGAAGGATCGCCGGAGCCCAGGAGGTCGAGGCTGCAGTGGTCAGGAGCGGCCACTGCACTCCAGTCTGGGTGACAGAGTGAGACTCCAACTCGAAAATAAAAAAAAAGAAATACAGTAAAATTTCCAAAAACTGCTTTCCTATTAACCATGCTCCTATGATCACTTAACACTATGACACCTCACTCATCTTACCCAGTTAATCCCTTCACTAAACAGCTGATACTTAGTACAAACTGGCAAATACTTAGTTCTTGAAGAATTGCTCTTTTATGCCTTGTGAAGATAGTAATCTTCATCTCTAAAGAAATGTGGGGAAATAGAGAGCCAGAAATCCTTTGCATCACTTATAGTTTTGTGGTCTTGGGCAAGTCACTTAACTGCTCCAATTTTTGGCTTTTTCCTTAATAGAATGGAAATACTACATTATTGCTGTCTGTCTGGGTTTTTACAAGGATTCAAGGATTAGAGGGCACACACACACACACACACACACACACACACACACACACACTCATTTATATATGCATATATAAAACTTGGCATAGAGTTAGAAATTAGCAAATGTGGGTTGTAGATAAAAATTTTAAACAAATCATAGGTTCGTCAAATTTTCCAGGATTGCAATTCAGACATTATTTCATCTTCTCTCATTTTATATGGAACTCCTTATTAGTTTTTAATGCTATGCAACTGATAACACAAATAAAAGGTTGTGAGTACCTTAGGAAGCAATATGATTCTTGCAGCTTCATTCATCTAAGGATGGCAGGATGCATCTAATTCTATTTTGGTGCCTAATGTTTTCTCTCTCTTGGAGGTGAAAGGGCCGCCTTCTCCTTGCTGTTCTTCACAGGAATATATCCTATTTGCAGTAGACACATTTATTAGCCTTGGTTCTTTAGTCTAGCTTTTTTTTTTCTTGCCACAGCTTTCCACAAAGCCCTTCTTTCATCTTCACATTTCAAATGCCCAGGCCCCGATTGCTTCATCATCCCCTCTGTGTCCCCAAGCTCCCACAAAGTTTTCATCCATGGATGGCTGCCAAATTACTGTTGCTGTGGGGGTATATGTGCCATATTCTGTCATCTTGCTCTAGATTTTCTTCATATTTCAAATAAACTTTTGTTTTCTTATCTTCTGATTGGCAGGGAGTATTTCTCTTGTAACACTATGTTGACATGCATGATAACATGTAATGATTAGAAGGTTCATGTAAACTGATGATGGCTTTTGGAGATTCAGACTTGATCACCAAAGTGCCTGTGGAACCCTCCAAGGACACAGCCTCTCTACCGTTCACATTTTGAAGCTAGTATCTCAGGAAGCGTCAAGTGCACACACTCTGTGTGGGCAGTGCTAAGTGAGACTCAGAAAGCTCATTGTACCTTCTGCTATAAATTTAAGAAGCATACCATACCTTTCTAGCTTCACAGCCAGAGGGATGCTGTGTTTATTTTCAAGGACATATTTTTCATGTTTTTAGCTATCTGTGTCATGTATCTGTGGGTCCTAAATCACTTGTAAAATTCTTTTTTTTTTTAAGTTGGAGCCTCACTCCGTCGCCCAGACTGGAGTGCAGTGGCCACTCCCGGCCACCGCAGCCTTGACCTGCTGGGCTCCGGCGATCCTTCCGCCTCAGCCTTCCAAGGAGCTGGAACTACAGGTGCGCGTTACCACGCCTGGCTAGTTTTTGATTTATTGTAGAGATGAGGTCTTGCCAAGTTGCCCACGCGGGTCTTGAACCCGCGGGCTCAGGCAATCCACTCACCTCAGCCTCCCAAAGCGCGGGATTACAGGCTGAGCCACCGAGCCCGGCTCACTTGTAAAATTCTACAAACTATTTCCTTTTATGAGTTTGTCAATTGTTAACTTCAATAATGATAATGATGGTGACAGTGAAAATCATAAAAAGAAAGTATTCACAAATTTTCTTAAGAAAGAAGAGATATACTGTTAGAGTTTGTGATTTCACTCTTGGAAATATAGTCTATAAAAATACAAATAGAAGTATGTTTCATCAAATTGTACAATGAAGTTTATTTCGATGTTGTTCAAGAAATGAGATAAAGTAAGTGCTTTTTATTAGAGAACTGGATAAATTATCTCATCTCTTCCATGGAATATTCTGCAGGTACTAAAAAGCATGAATTAGAGCTATAACAGATGACTTGGAGACATACCCCCTTAAAGGATTGAAAAAAAAAAGAAGCAACCTGCGAAAAGGTGCTTATAATATAATCTTAATTTCAAAAATGAGCAACAATTTTAAAAAATTCTGTAAAGATGTGAACACAAACACATAGACATGACTAACTCATATTATCTATCATGAATTTTGATCAAAGAGGAAAACATGAATGTATATATGCCAAGTTGTTAATATGCTTGACCTAAGGAGGTAATCATATGTGAACTAAGACTAAACAAATAAATAAAATAGAAAAAAAAAACCCTAAAAAAATTATGTTAGGGCAGAAAAAGTGTTTTAGAATTTAGGTAATAAAAGACTGTACATTTCATCCTGGAACTAACAGGCGAGTACAAGTTAAAACAGAAACCTCAGACAAAGTTGGCTGTGATTCACTGTGATTTTTGACTTTTGAGTGCACTATTGAGAAACACTGAGTTAGAGTCAGATCCAACGATAAGGCACAAAGTGGCTCTTCCACTTGCTACTTTACACAAGGGCAAGGACTCTGTTCCCCAGACTGCCAATATTACCTGGGAGCAGAAAAACCAAAGGGGCTGTGGTTAAGGGAAATGAGTGGCCTAGAGCTTAGCTCTGAGTTCTCATCTGAAAGACTTCCACTGCAGTTGCTGAAGTTACAAATGACCATAAAAATCACCAGGCAAATGACAGCAATTGCCAGAGCCCAAGAGAGCAGGAGACTTAGGGAATAAGAAAGAGCTCTTGTAAGGTTTGTTAGAGGGAGAGAAATGGCCTTGGTTGCTTTGAAAATTTTGGGGGGTTGGTGCTGAGGTGGGCTCTAGTCCATTCCCCACATCCTATCGACTGGAACTGGGTAGGTGTGCAAGGGCCAAAAAAAATTTCTCAGGCTTGTTTTGAACTCATGAGGATCAGAGACAGTAGTTTAGGGTTCACACCAGAGAGGCTGGCCATTCATTCAGAGAACCCACATACTGTACCCAAAAGTGATGGGTCAGCCAGGAGCACTCAGGAAGGCAAAAGAGGAAGCAAAACAGGGAGCCGATTTTCCATACTTCTGTCTGTGTTTTAAAGCAGCAATTTTCAAAATGTCCTTTCCACTTAGAATCATATAATTTTAGAACTTGGAAGAACTTTAAGGAATTCATTTCTGAATGGTCTCACTATGACATTTTGAGCAGAGCAGTTTTTCCTTGTGTGAGACTATCCTTGGAATATCAAGGTATTTAGCTTGCCTGGTACCTAGTCAATAAATGACATTGAACACTCCCAGGCATTTGGAAAATAAAAAAACTGCTCCTATATATTTTTAGATGCCAATATAGAAAAGCTATCACTGAGAATCACTTATTTTATTTTTAGCAAAAATGTGAAGGAGGTTAATTAATTTCTTCAAGTTGTAGCTGACTAGTTCAACAAATATTGCATAAAATTCCTGTCATAGTTCAGATGCTGTTAGATGCTGAGAATATAAAGATTTATAAGACACAGACTAAAGAGTCGGCAAAGGAGACAGACGTGTAAGCAGTTAATTTTACCATATACACACTGTCCAACATGCTGAGTTGCATGGCATATTAAATAGGCAAAATAACAAATGTGTAAGGTTTATGGGAGCTAGCTGGTTGGAACTTTTATCAAAGGAGAATGCATATGCTGCCTTTCATTTGTATGCTAAGCTGCATCTGTATGCATTTTTCATTCATTAATCTAGTAAATGAGTGTCCATTATGTGCCAGGCAATGTTCTAAGTATTAGCAACACCTGCCCTTTGTAATTTCTTCAAGTGACCCCCTCTGTTGCAACTTTTCCAATTTTACTCCTAAATGTCTGACGATAGTGATATATATTTAAAATTTAGGCCCCCCACAGTAAGCTTTTAAGTGAATTAGTCTTCCATTTTACTACCCCTCATCCCCAGAATACCATCAAGAGGAGCAACTATTGGTCATTTAAAAAAAAAATTAAAACAAGGCTGGATAAAGTGACTCATGCCTGTAATCTCAGCACTTTGGGAGACTGAG